GTTACCCACTAAAGAAATGTTATCACTATGTTTAGATAAAGTTGTGTTTATTTCTGTTAAATTGTTTTTAAAATCTTGCAAACCTTAACATGTCGTAGTTGCCCCACTCTCCCCTATTAATTGTCTCAATCATGATGACAATATAACATGCACCTCCACCGGTCGATGCCGAATCTGCAATAAAGCTCACCATACCCATGTTCATGTAGACTTCCCTCAAAATAAAAGTCAACCAAAAAAATTACCAGGAGATAATCATTCTTATCATGGAGGAAGCCGAAAGACAGAGCAAACTACAAACTACGCTAGCAGAAAAGATGAAATGGTGTTGTTAGCTACAGCATTAACAAAAGGGAAAAAATCACAAGGAGACTACGAGAATTTACGAGGCCTAGTAGATTCCGGGTCCCAGTCATCTTTTATCACAGAGGAAGCTGCATGCCTCCTTCCACTACCCAAAAAAAAAAAAGATCAGTGTCGAGATATCATATCAGGTCTTGGTGCAAGAAACCCCCAGACAGCAAAATGGCAGATAGAAACAACAATCCACCTAAGATTTCCAAGCAACTTCTCGTTGGACGTCGTGTTCCTTGTGCTGCCTAAACTCACACAGACATTACCTGGAAAGCCATTAGATGTCAATATATCTCAGTAGAACAATGACCTTGTGGCGGATCCTGCATTTCAAAATTGATATTATTGATATTATATTGGGCGCCAAAGAATATACGCGCAGATTTTACTTGAAGGCGTCAAGAAAACGAATGATGGCATACTGGGACAGAACACCGAATTCGGATAGATATTTTCTGGAAACACTGGAAATAACAAAGATAAAAAAACTCCAGGTGCTAACAGTGACAACCGACATTCAAGAAGATCTACAGCTAATCAAATTCTGGGAAATAGAGGAAATTTTCCAACCAAGACAAATAACTAAAGATAAGGAGATCTGTGAGGAACAATATGCTCTAAACACAACCATCAGAGATAAAGATGGTACTTACACTGTAGAATACCATTCGATGACAAAGAACAAACTCTGGGAATATCAAAACAGAGCTGCAGCAAGAGTTATACAATTAGAGAAAAAGCTCTTAAGAGACGAAAGCCTAGAATTCACCTACAAACAATTTATATAAGATTACCTAGATCTGGGACACATGAAAATCTGCGATGTAAAAGATACAAAACTTTCAAAATACTATACATTCCTCGTCACCATGTTTTGAAAGAATCGAGTACAATGACCAAGCTCCGAGTAGTTTCACAACAGTAACATATGGTACAACCGCAGCTCCATATTTGGCGATCAAAACATGGCAGCAACTAACAACTGATGAGGCCATAAATTTTCCAAAGGCAGCCAAGGCAGACGACGTTCTTTCCGGTGCAGATACTATTGAAGAAGCATTGGAACTCCAAACTGAACTAATCAAAATGTTTCACTCTGGCGGGTTCAATTTACTAAAATGGTCCAGTAACAGAAATCAACTCCTACAAGCTCTGCCAGATGAGGAACTGAAAGATATAACTTCCGTAGAAATCACAGAAGATGAAACAAGAAACTCTCTTGGAATCCACTGGGCACCACATGATACCTTCCGTTTCAAAACTGAAGTAACAGAAAATACCAAAATTACGAAACGAAATATCCCCTCCGAGGTTGCTAAATTGTTTGATCCGCTTAGCTGGCTAGCTCCAGTGATCATAAAAGCAAAACTTCTCATCCAAGAAGTATGGTTACCTACAAGAATTAAGATGGGACGATCCTGCACCTGAACACATACAAACCAAATGGAAGAAGTTTCAAACAGAACTTAAAAATGTCGAACAAATAACAATTTCCAGATGGACACATCAATCCAAACAAAGCAACATTAAGATACATGGATTTAGCGATGCATCAGAGAAAGCATACGGTGCAGTCATCTACATGAAATTGACAAATCCACAAGATGAAAGCCTAGTCACTCTCTTAGCTGCTAAATCCATAGTTGCTCCAGCACGAATGGAGGCAATTCTATCACGACTTGAATGTTGTGGTGCAGTTCTGTTGTTAAAACTAATCAAAAGAACTTATAAGTTTTATCGCTAGAGAAAGTTGCAGTCTATGCCTACTCAGACTCCATGATAACACTGGCATGGATAAAAGAAGAGCCATCAAGATGGAAAAATTTTATTGCCAATAGAGTCTCTGGAATAAATAAACTTGTATCCAGTGAATTCTGGCATCATGTAAAATCGAAAGAGAATCCTGCCGATGTGATATACAGAGGACTAAAGCCATCAAAACTAAAAAAATACGCTCTCTGGTGGCATGGACCATCATGATCAATGTTACATAGCGTGACAAGAAATCCTTTCATCATTCCTGCGACGACTGAAGAAGAAAAAAAAAGCTACACAGCCATTATCACCACACAAACAAAGGGCAGCGATGAAATCATTCAGAAATTCTCGTCACTAAAAGAATGGGCCGTGTGATACGCCATTGTAAAAGATTTTTGGACAAATGCAGAAAAAAGAAGCATCCATCGAAATTAACTGTCGAAGAAATGGCAACCACGCTGGTACACATTGTCAAAATGGAACAGTAATGTTACTAAGAAAAAAAAATCCTAACGCTCCAGAAGAAAAATCAACTAGAAACAAAGAGCAAAATTCTGAGTCTCAACCCGTTCCTAGACAATGATGGAGTTTTGAGAGTAGGAGGTTGACTTCAGCACTCACAGCTACCATACAGCAACAAACATCCCATGATCTTGGCGTATCAAAGTCACCTGACAAGATGCGTAGTCACAGATGCCCATCTCACCACTCTACATGGTGGGAATCAGCTTACATTAGCTTAAACCAAAAAACGATTTTGGATCATAAATGGAAAAAATGGAGTGAAAAATACAATCATGCATTGTATTAGATGTATCCGATTTAGGGAACAAATGGAAGACCTTTCAGCCCTAAAGTGTCACCCCATCGCATCTTTCTCCAACTCCGTTGTCGACTCTGCAGGACCGATACAAATACAAACGTCAAGGGGCAGAGGTTTTAAGTCATATAAAGGGTAGATAGCGATCTTTGTATGTTTAGTCACAAAGGCTGTTCACTTAGAAGTGGTCAGCGACATGTCTTCTGATATGTTTTTAGCTGCTTTTAGACGATTTGTATATAGAAGGGGACCCTGCTCACATCTCTATAGCGACAATGGAACAAATTTTGCTGATGCTAGCAAGATACTCAAAAGCGAGATACAAGAAATCATCCAAAAATTCAATATCCTGGATACACTGATATCTGCTGGAACACAATAGCATTTTATTCAGCCATCAGCCCCGCACTTTGGAGGCTTATGGGAAGCTGGAGTAAAATCCATGAAATATCATGTAAAAAGAATTATTGGAGACCCAAGACTCACCTTTGAGGAACTGTGCACGCTAACACATCAAATCGAAGCCTGTCTCAACTCCAGACCTTTATGTCTATTATCTAATGATCCAGAAGTCCTAGCAGTACTTACGTACTACGGGACATTTTTTGATTGGACGGGAAGTAATCTCACCTCAAGATCCAGTCACGACGAACATCAACTCAAACCTCAATGATAAATGGAAATTGGTGCAAAAAAATCAAACGCGGAATGGAAAAGCTGGTCAAACAACTATCTACAGCAACTTCAACAACGATACAAGTGGAAACAGTCGCAAGAAGCACTAAAAATGGGAGAGTTAGTTCTTATGAAGGAAGATATCAATCCTAGTAGATGGCCTCTTGCTAAAATCACAGAAGTGTTTCCTACAAGCGATAAGTCCGTTCAAGTAGTGACTGTCAGGAAAGCAGATGCACATACTATGAAAAGACCTATACATAAATTAATTCCAATTTCCATAATACAGCCAAGTCAAGAGGCTAAACAAAAAATTAAAATTTTTTTTGGTAATCTTTTCTATTAACCAAGGCTAGCCAAGCATTTTTAAAGTCATCGACATTACAACAGTGAGTCAGTAAAACATATAAGTCAGCACTTTAGGTAATTTATTAGTTAATTACTTTTGTAAATATCATCAGTCGTTTATACTCAATCACATCTAACAGTGAACTGCTTACTACAGAGTTTTACTACGCACCCTATTAAGTATTCGACAACAAAGAAGAAGAAGGTGCTTAGAGTATAATCAGTCATTCTCTGCCTCCTTTTCTAGTTACAAAACTTCACACATCAAGGGAACGATTGTGCAAGAAGTAGTTTAGTTTGTAGGTTCGTCAGCTTCATTGGACAATGTCAACTAAGAGCACTTGGAAGTACTCCGTACTTCCAAATAGCTTTTAAAACATTGTTCATCTTCTGGAAATACCGTTTTAAGATTTCACAACTGTAAGGGAACGATAGTGTGAATGTTTTATAGCTTCAAAACACTATGAATTGCTTAGAAGTACTTTTAAATAGCTTCTGAGACATTTTTCAGCTTCTAGATTATATTGTGAGCTGTGGACAAGCATCAAAACAGCTGAAAAATGCTCTTGAAACGCTTTTTAGAATCACTCATTTCAACTAAAAATCTTGTTCGCTAGCTACGGCAATTCCTAAGTACATATTTGGTTTTCGGATTCGTATCTAAGAATCTAAGAAAATCTGAATTTTGATTCTCAAAACACGAAAGCTACATTTTAATAAGAAATGTTTCAAAAATAGAAGTTGAAATCATCGTTTTGTTTCTAACCGGTTGACCAGAATAACAAATTAAATAACGTCGCATCAAAGATCAGTTAATTGGTAGGTATAATCATCTGACCTCTCCTTTTACGATAGTAATTCCAATCAATAAAACATTGTCTTGTTTTTGTAAATAATTCAGAGTAGTAACGAATATATTATTTTAGCTTTAAAGCTTAGATTATTATGACTAAATATTTTAAACCCGTCCCTGACTTGAATCTTCAATCGTCGCAATCTACTTTATTCTGCAGTTTCTTTGAACATTATTGTTTTAGACTAGAAAATGATGAAACTGTAAGTTAAGTAATACCTAAATTACTATCAAATAACTACTAAATTGCTTTTTAGGGAATCGGAAATCAAGTTTCATTTGGGTGAAACTCAACATGCAGGTAAGCATAAAAGGCAATTTGTATTTTTACAACTTTTATCGTCACATCTGCATGCCACGAAAATCCAACATATGGTAATTTTTATATTATTTTGAAGTTAATCCTAGCGATGTTACACCTGAAACCACCCTGAATAGTTACCTCAGAGACAAACTCCAACTTACAGCTACGAAAAAAATGTGCCTAGAAGGCGGTTGTGGCACTTGCATTGTAGCAGTAGAAGCACTAGAAGCAGATGGCACTACAAAAGTCTTTGCAGTCAATTCGGTAATAATTATTTTTCAATAATTCATATTCTGACAGTTATTGTTTCAGTGTTTGGTCTCAATTTTCTCCTGCCACGGCTGGAAAATCTTAACCAACGAAGGCATCGGGAATCCGTTAATCGGTTACCACGCCATCCAGAAGCTTTTGGCCGACAATAACGGCAGTCAGTGCGGATTTTGTTCTTCTGGCATGGTGATGAGCATGTATGCTTTGCACGAGTCCGGACCGAAAACCCAACTTGAAATTGAAGACTCTTTTGGAGGAAATTTGTGCCGCTGCACCGGTTATCGGCCAATATTAACTGCTTTCAAAAAACTTGCTTCAGATTCTGGTACAAAATCTAGAAATTGTTTAATTACTTAATATAAATTGCTTTTGTTTGTAGATGATATTGAAGATGTTGGGTTGTGCTCTAAAGCAAAATGCGAAAGTAAATGTCGGCAAACTTGCAAAAAAGCTCCAGTATATTTCGATTTGGAGCCTGCCAAATGGATGAAAGTTTATAAATTGGTGGACTTATTGGAAATTTTGAGAACAACTGGAAATAGGAGCTACATGCTTGTAGCAGGCAACACTGCAAGAGGTTGAATTTTGATTACATTCATCATCACACGAATATATTTTGATTATTTTAAGGTGTGTATTTGCTCACTCCAAGTACCACTCCCGAACTTTACATTGACGTCACAGCAGTAAAAGAGCTGATTACTTATACTGCACTGGATAATAGTTTGATACTAGGCGCAAATATGAGTTTAAGTGACACAATGAGCCTGTTTAGAAAAATTGCCCGAAAGAACAGCAAATTTCTTTATTTGCATAAAATGGCTGATCATTTGGATTTGGTTGCTCATGTCCCAGTCAGAAATGTACATTGGTGCTTAAACTTGCTGACTGAAACTTAAATGTTCGTTTTTCTAGATTGGCACTGTTGCAGGCAATTTGATGATCAAGCACCATCACAACGAATTTCCTTCGGATGTCTTTTTGATTCTAGAAACTGTAGCAGCTACCTTAGTAATTGGTAATTTGTTTTTTTGTCTTATTATACAATCGAATAATAATATTATTTGTAGTTGATGTTGACGAAAATGAAACGAGAGTGTCTCCGCAAGAGTTTTTAAAAGTCGACATGGACAAGAAAGTTCTTAAACAAATAATTTTACCCGGATATGGTCCTGAATATTCTTATGGAAGTTATAAGGTAAACTAGATATTAGAGCTCTGTTTTAATGTTAGTTGATTTTTTGTACTTTACTCAGTACTATAGCATCCCTATGAGGTGTTTTGCATTACAATTATTAGATGATCTATTTCAAGAAAAAACATCCTTGCCCTTTGTAAATTCCTGTATTGAAATTTGCGAGGATGCTCAGAACACTTGTGGTAGTTTACTGTTTGGGGTTTGTATATGTTGGGTTACTACACCCAGAAAGTTTGGTAACTGGGGAGCAGGGCCGGATCTAGGAATTTTTCGAGGGGGGGCAAAGATATGAATTGCCGCCCCTGTTAAATATTATTTTTTCTACGAGTGTGCGCAAAGTAACTACTTTGCGCATACTATGCGGGATTTTTTTTTCCCGCTTTTTTTTTTCTGGTACCCATAATAAAATCCGGGGGCCCCCTATTTGGGGGGGCAAGGCCCTGCGAGAGTCTCCTATTTGGTGGTCCCAGCCCCGTGGGGCCCCCTTTTTAAGGGAGCAAAGACCCGCGGAGAAGGGGCCGAAAAAATGTTTTGGCCGATTTTGATATAAAGTGCGACAAGTGAGTGAACCTGTGTGGAAGGAATGCGGCCAAAACGCTCCTGATTGGCGCGAGATTAAATATACATATACGCGGATCGTCGCGTCAGGGTAACCGCATTTTTCACAATGCACCACGTCGGGGACCCGTCACGTCGTATAGTATAGGTTTTCGTCTTCCCCTCTGCTACTTCATACGTTACCAAGGTTCACTCACTTGTCGTACTTTACCTAGATAGTTATAGCAAATTGTTTTTGATGCCCAAAAAAATTAAAGATTTAAGGAAGAAGTATAAGGTACCTGTCCCAAATAAGGCCACATTAATAAGTTTTATTTTTTTCTAACATTATCCACCAAAGCCAACAAAAATCACGAGCTTATAAGTGAAGTGTCTCGCTTCTATTACTTGAATATTAACTCCAATTTTTTAATTTTTTTATATAAGTGGTGGTTTTTGCGTAAAACAAAGACGCTTACCATTGGCCTTATTTGGATCACTATGCTACTAATAAGGCCACAATTAAGAAATGTTAAAAATATATACAATTATTTATAAAAATATTATTATTTGAGAAATAGTACACAAAATAGAACCTAAACGTTTGCTGCATTCTTGAAAAAAACAATAATTCCAAATCCTGAGATGGTGATTCAAACATGATATTCACATAGGTCTACATGCAACTAGGACAAATGAACCGCAGCATCTCTTGCTTGGTTAGACTCCAGGCATTTCAAAAAACATCACTGAGGTAATAATATGACACATTCTTTTAAAAAAAACACTGTGATGTGAGGCCAATTAAACATTTTTCGTATGATGGCCTTATTAGGAACATGTTAAATTGATAAAAAAAAATCTGTTTCTGGAAATCTAGCAAAGATATTATTCTATACTTACTCTATAGCTTTCTCAATACATAAATGTCCGTTAAAAAATTATATTCGCTCCATTCACTTTATAAACATGTGCATAAACTAATTAAGTTCCAGCCTCAAAGTTATAACGTGACATATGAAATATGTGCTTGGCCATTTTTCGAAATATAACGAGTTGCTAGGAACCCTCGCAATAATTTTTGATTTGCATTATGGATTTCTTTTTTATTAATATTAAAATTTTTGAAAATGGGATTCAATATTAAGCAATAAAGGGCACTGGCCTTATTAGGTACATGGCCCTATTTGAGTCAGGTACCTTAGTTATTTCACTCTTGGAAAATATAGTTCCTTACACGTGCGCAAAGTAGTTTTTCCGCACTTAAAGCTTATCCGAACTCCGCTTCGCGTCGTTCGTCTAACTGCTTTCGCGTGCGGGAAAACATGACTTTGCGCACTGATTAGGAAAACTACTATTTTATGTATATATTCAAAAATGAGGTGTTGAGTCCACAATTTATTTACATGTAGCAGTAGCGGCTCGTGGTCTTTACTGGAAGGGGTTCACACCTAAAGTGATCAGTAGTTGAAGCCCAGCGCGTGGGATCCAGAAGTTGTAGCGCACCGCAGGTGCCTCCAAAAGCAGAAATTCTTTCCGGGTGCCACGCCCAAAAACGTATTTAAGTCTCGAAAAAACAGAATATCAAAGATTGATCAATAAAACTTAATTTCTTCAAACGCTCAATATTCGACGAGTCCTTTCATCTGGGGGCTGGTAGCTCCCAATACATAGCTGTGGCCTGAGCCGGATTCAATGTTGTACTGTTGTACAACAGAAGGCGATTGATTATTCATTTATGGCATGATATTTTTGAATTTATTGTATTTATTTGTTTGCATGCACATCAAAATTAAAAGCTTATGCCAGTATTGCGCATACGTATCTTATTAGCGGGCCAACCGGATGGGGCGTGAACCATGCATGTTGCAACGTGATCGGGATCGGACGTCAAAGCTCTATTTCCTCTGGAGAGGGCAGCATAATACAGGGAACCTTGAGTCAGGTCACTGTGGGGTGGTCGGTTGTTCTATCAGAAGATGTGTTACAAGTTGGCACAATATTAGATAATCAATTTTAAAAAAATATCCGCTAGATATGTACCTATGTTCTATGAAAAAAAGTAAAGCAGTGTCTTCTCTTTTTGCCGCCCCCTTAAGATGCAAAGGGGGGCACGCGCCCCTGTTCGCCACCCCGTAAATCCGGCCCTGCTGAGGAGTAAGAACCACTGTTAGATTAATACTGGTTTTTATTAAACAATTAACAGCTATTTATAATAAAGTTCATAACCGTACAGCTGTTCTTGGGACACCCTGTATAAAAAAATTAATGTGAAAAGATCTTAAGCAAAAAAATCTTAATCGACGTGTTTTTGCGTTTTGTCCGCATATTTTATCCGAAGGCTCTAGCGAATTAGTTTCAGTTAAAGTCTGTATACTGTTCCTGTATACAAAAAGCCAACTTTGACAAACGTAAGGCAAGTTCGGTTAATCCTCCGCGAGCAAAAAGATGACGGGCCCCACGTGATCAGTTCTACTACTTCAAATAAAAGATCACGTGAGCTTCTGCCAACAGTGTCATCTTTTAACTCGCAAAGGATTAACCGAACTCGCCTGTAATGAACAATGGTAATTAATCAAAAAGAATAAATCGCAGACAAAAATCTGTTGTGTGCTCCACATCGAAAGATTTGGTAATTAAACTTTTGATGACGCTGCGTCTGGTATAGATCGTAGTAAGTATTGCCTCTGGTGATCCACTGGCGGTGCGTTGGTGTCGATGACCTAGGAGTACCTGGACGCTAATAATTAATTAATTTTTGTAATGATTTTGATATACATAATTCAGGGCTTTTTTATATGACTAATTTTGAATTTAGACATTCTGGGCATTCTATTGCCATGCCATCAGTGTTCAGTGCTGTCATGGGGCAATACTGATTCGAGGACAATAGCTTCTGTGGGTTGCTGGGCAGCTCTAATTGTATTTAATAGAATGTCTGCCGCATCTCTGTTTCTTCTTGTATTGGAGCCGTTATTCTGTCGTTCTATGTAGAACTTGAATAGCACTATGTGTGACAACAACAATTATAGTTACTAATGTAGCACCTGAGGCTCATGACTAGGAGGTACATGGTGATCTATTATAAATGTAACCCCCTGCTAACTTTTTCATTTGACGTTTTTGACAGAAGTGTCAAATACAAAAGTTTCAAGAAATTGTCAAAAGTTTTTAACCAAGTCAGTTTTAGGCATACAGGGTGCGTCAAAAAAGTGCAGCAGCGTAAAGTTATATTTTTTTAAATGGAACACCCTGTATATTGTGCACCTATTTGTTAGTCCTTTTTAACCTGTTTTCAACGATATATGGTTTGATATGTCTATCTTCAACAGTTATAGGGAAAAACATGAAAACCTCTTTTCAGGTTTCATATGAAAAAAGGAAAATTATACCATTTAAGCTTTATAGAATTTTTTTTTTATTATCAGTTTATTGCTCAAATTTTATCCATTAATTTACAAGGTGAAATATTATAATAAATCCAGATGTCTAAGCTATTATTATTATTTAAAAAAAAATAACATGAGAGACCTAGGAAGGAATTTTCGCGTTTTTCCCTATAACTATTGGAGATAAACCGGGGGATAAACATATCAAACCATATATCGTTGAAATCAAGTTGAAGGGGACTAACAAATAGGCGCACAATATACAGGGTGTTCCATTTAAAAAAATATAACTTCATACTGCTGCACGTTTTTGACGCACCCTGTATGCCTAAAACTGACTTAGTTAAAAACCTTTGACAATTTCTTGAAACTTTTGTATTTGACACTTCTGTCAAAAACGTCAAATGAAAAAGTTAGTCAGTACTGACATCTCGCGTTGCTGTAATAAACTATATGCCTGACTTTAAACCTTAATGAGGCAATTTGAAGCTATTTCTATAATAGCTGTCTGATTTAGTGCCACATGAGTTCCATATCGCAAATAATGGAAATTTTAGTTTTTTCAGGCGTAATTGCTAACCATGAGTTTGGAGTGTATAGCTGCTTCCATATTATTGATGCTATGGATTGCTGTAGGATTTTGCACGAAGTATTTTCTTCTCTTTGATATATTTCGTCTATTATACAATTAGGACTCGTCTCTATGCCTTTTGGCGAACATACGAAAACATTTTCTGCAATGTTCAGACTGTTGCTCAACTCATCTTCAGATATTTGGAAGTAGAGCTGTGATTCATAATCTATTGCTGATACTTCGTTTGGAATATCCAGGATCCAGTATGACTCTTTTTTTGTTTATAGTGGAATTGGAGTCGATCTGATTAGCATAAATTCATTCTGTTCTATCATCACAAACTATCCATAGACGTGGATAAATTATCCACTGTGTTCCACTTTGGTCTGGAGCACACATATTATCTCGATATTAGACGGAATTTTTCTTGATGCAGATGCTATTATCTCTTCAACGTGGGTCGGAGATATCAGATCATATAGGTGGTCTTTATGGTAGTG